AAGAAACATATTAAGGGAATAGGAACATTCATTCATTCATCTTCTAACCACTTCATCCTCTTGAGGGTCGCGGGGGGGCTGGAGCCTATCCCAGCTGACATTGGGCGAGAGGCAGGGTACACCCTGGACAGGTCGCCAGACTATCGCAGGGCTGACACATAGAGACAGACAACCATTCATGCTCACATTCACACCTATGGACAATTTAGAGTTATCAATTAACCTAGTCCCCAATCTGCATGTCTTTGGACTGTGGGAGGAAACCACCACACCACCGTGCCACCCGGAATAGGAACATATTGTCTCCAATATCAAATTTAAGAATATTTCCTCCAAACAACTTGGAGAGAAGAGGGGATGTTTCTATGAATCTGTAGCAAGTATAATTGTGTGGTGCCCTGTCTGTTGTCACATTTGAACTGTTCCTACACCCACAAAACTTGCATTAATGGATATGAAAATGAAATTTAATAATGAATGTTTCAATGTAAATCAGTTATTAAGTCAATTAAAGCTGATACCAGTTCTATCCGTGTATTTTAAATTGTGCATGAACGCTAAATTTTACCATTCGTCTCAAGGCTGTAATGTTCACATTACTCACAGAGGACAAAGAAATGATTGGTGCTACCCTGTTTTTTTTTTTTTTCTTTTGAAGCAAAATGGCTTGTCTTCATTAAACATGGGTACACTTGACTGCACAGTGCAGCTCTGGACTCAACATTTTGTGAATTAGTTACTTTGCATGACAATGCTGATGTAAAAGAATCATTTTTTACAAATCTGTGAATTTATGTAGAACAACAGAAATCAGAATTTCAACACAAATTGATTTCAATTAAATAAAAATGTCAAATGTCAAAAATTCATCACAACAAAGTCAATTAAACACAAAACAATTTTTAAAAATCTGTCAAATTAATAGAGTGCTGCTGTACTTTTTTTTTCTTATCCGCTCTCTTTTATTGTGTGTGGCCCTTGCATTTGTTTAAACTGGCTTTCTGACTAAATGTTTTTAATAAAGTCAAAGCACTTATTTACTCTTTTATTTGTATAAACCTTATCGAGCCATTTTTTTGAAATGTTAGCAAACCTTGAGGAAATTGTGTAGAGTTAGAGTTAGAGTTAGAGTTAGGGTTAGGGTTAGGGTTAACAGCTACTGAAGGCTCACCCTTGCTTTGTCATTTAAACATTTCTTGTGATTGCATCCAGACATTTAAAGTATCAATGGTACCTTTTTACACATCAACATTAGCTTACTGCAGCAAATGAATGTGGGCTCCCAACTGAAAAATGCCATATGACTGACAGAATGTCTGCTGACAAATAGTGATAAATAAGGCAATATTATGCACAGGGGGCTGCTGTAGTGGCTTCCAGTGAAAGCTGCTCACAAAGCACGTACGCCCAATAAGTGTCACTTGCTTCCTTCTCATAACTCATCCACATTAGTGTCTTTGTCTGAGTGATTCTTCACACACATGAATGGCTCAACATGAATACTTTGATACTGATCTTGGTGGCTTTCAAACAGATACTGGACCCAGTCTTTGCTGTCTGTGTGTGATGTTCAGTTTTCCTAGTTTTACTCGTTTTTCAAAGTTTCTGTAATTAATGCATACGGCAAAAAGCCTGTCTTGTTCCCTGACCTGTAGTTACAGCTAAACAGGCCTCATTGAGATCCAAGATGGTGTGCGATTTCCTCCTCACTCACAGATTTGAACACCCATCGCTGCCACTGGTGTCTGAGAGTGAAGTTCCACTGGTGGCTCATTATTATTTCATAATTCCCCTTGCTGAATCAAGACACAAACACAACATAATTAACATGCGCATAGACAGAGAGTTAGCCTGTGTGTTATACATTTGATATAAACTCAAAGTGTAATTTTCTGTGTGCACATAAGGTCTTATTACATATCCATATTCCAACATATGGTGATGTGCTGCCTCCCCCCAACACATCTTAAATGCTACATTAATCTTTTGTGTGTGTGTGTGTGTGTGTGTGTGTGTGTGCGTGCGTGCGTGCGTGCGTGCTTGCCTGAGAGAGATACTGTAGAGAGAGAGAGAAATAGTAAGTGAAAGAGAGATGTGTTCACCATCAGTGAAGGGCGAGTCCTTTAGCAGATGGGGTCAGCGCTCTAATCTGAGGAGGTGATGATATTGTTAGGATATTTAATGAGAGGATAAAAGCAAAAGCGAAAAGGGGGGATGAGTATTAGCCTTTTTAGATATCATTAAACATTAATACTGTCAGGGGGCTGGAGCACACTGGGGTCCTTTTCATTGACTTTCATGCTGCGTGCTAATAGAGTTTCACCTCTGGGGACCTCCCCACCCCCACCCAGCCCTCGGTGCAGCGCTAAAGCTAAGAGAAGATCAGATCGCCACCCCGCTTCTGAGGATAAGCTTAGTCTGTGCGTGTGTGTGTGTGTGTGTGTAATTGTAGATTATGTGAGGTCATGCACTCTCTCTTGCTCCCTGTCTGTCTTTTGCTCATGATGTATGATATACGCATATTATAACTATTAAAAGGCCCTGAAGAGACTAGCATATATTAACCCAACATTTAATCCTGAGAAGCACTTCAAATACTGTTTTTAAAAAAGGTGTTTTTGTGGGCATTTACAGTGTACTGCTTGAAGTATTTAGCAAATTACTGTTTACTCATATTTTAAGTTTTGTTTAGTTTTAGACTTAAGACATATAAGCAGTGTCTTTCTCATACTTCTATTATTCATAAGCACATCATTAGCTAATATGTCTGTGATTTTGTGTGCATTGGTCGATGTCTATGTATAAGACAGGCCTCTTTGGCATTATTCAGAGGAGTGTCTTTGTGTCCTCGATGATGACAATTATTTTTATGATCAATTAATGTGCGGATTATTTTTCTCAGTTCATCATTTTGTCTTCAAAATACCAGAAAGAAGTTGAAATGCCTATCGCAGAGTCCTAAAGCCATTATGTCATTAAATTACTTGTGATTAAATTGTTTGTTTTTCTCAACCAACAAGACAAAGCTAAAAAATATTCACTTCCCTAATTAACAGGACGTACAAATGCAGCAAACTTCACAATTAAGAAGCTGAACTGGGGGATTGTTGGCATTTGTGTCAGAGAAATGACTCAATTAATCAATTATCAAAAGAGCTGTCCATTATTTTTCTGTCGATCACCGAGCGGACTAATAGAGTAATAGGTTGTTAATTTGCCATTGCACTCTACTGTCACCACTTATGACAAATGTCAAATATAACAGTAGAGGCATTTATGTCATCAGTATTCGTATGTGACCTTTGGTAAATGGTGTTGTTCTTATGTTAACTTATGCTCAGACAAAAAAAACATCAGCAGCCGAACTGAATGGTGAATCACGTGAAGCACCAACAGAGGGCAGTGGTCCCCTTCTAAAGAGAAGAGGCTTGGCAGCGCACACAAACTCAAACACTGTGTATGTGCATGTGTGTATTGTAGAGCTGGGCGTGGCTGGGAATGAATGAGACCCAGCGGGGTACGTGCAGATGGCGATGGAGGGAGCTGTTACTGTACATCCCCTTAAGTCACACTGACACTAAAATTAATATATGAATCTCATTCACAGGAATTTCTCTCCTCTCCTCCCCTGGAGTGCCATCTGTCAACAACTCAACAGCACAATGTAAGAAACATTAGCACAACCTGCACTGATTACTCATTCAGTAACTTTGCCTCTATTCAGAATTAAACCCTTAATGCATTTACTTCATGCATAATGATAATGTTCTAATTCATATTAACAGCAGAGGAGTGCATGGTGTGCTTTCACATATTCACCATTGCCTTTAAAGCAGCATCTTCCTTTCTCCAACAGATCCGCTGAGTCCACTTCCACACTTTAGTTGATCTTAATACCCTTCTGCTGGCCAAGCGCAGCAAAGTAAGTGGTTGTGTTAAATTTGATTCAGATGATTCTACATCTCTTTGAAAGATATACAGCATGGATCCCAACATACCTGAATCACTTCATGCTCTTCACACTTGAAGAGCCACATATTTATGCAAATGCAGGCCCTCTAAATTATTACATCATACAGAGGTTAAATAACCTCAGCCGCAGATTCCCACAGGCTAGAAGTCACTCACTCATTCACTGCGTTCATAAGATAGTGGAGTATTCAACTGCATTTAGTTGATGCAACTTTGAGTTAACAGTCAGAATACTCCTTACGCCAAGGCACAAGATTTTATCTGTTAGATCCCTATGATTCAGCTGTGAAAAGTCCCTGTAACAGACATGTTCTCATGTCTTAACCCTGTGATCTGTTTAGGTGCATCAGCCAGACGTCCAGTCTCCCCGTTCTGCTGGAAGGCTGCCAGCCACAGGTCACATGACCTGGAAGAAAAAACCTGGGAGACTTTTGGGATCCCTTTTCGGTCAGACATGCCCTCTTATTGCTATTGCTTGCACACACTATGAGCAACGTGACTGATGGGTTACTCTATTTTGATTGAAAGGCGGTGGTCCCAGAGTCTCGGTTTTCTTCACAATGTATCGATCCTGTAGAGAGAAACACAGGCTTTATAAGAAAAACAACCTATGTAATAATAACCTATGCCTCAATACAACTTCCGAGTGATATTCTAGTGATATATTATTTTAAAGAGTAAAAAAGAAAAAATCCTCGGGTGGATGATATGAGACGAGATGTCATGAATCTGTTGTCTTTTCCTGGTTTTAAAGGCTACATTACAGTGAAGTGATGTAATGTCATGAACTCACCAGACTGTTCTAGCTGTTCTATTATTTGTCTTTACCCACTTAATTATTAAATCGACGTTACTGATGATTATTTATCAAATATTATCAAGGTATTTGTTAAAAAATATTGTGATATTTGATTGTCTTCATATGGCCCAGCCCCAGTTGCAACCTCTCTTTTCCTGTCTATTGTTTTTCCTTGGCTTTAGCATGGGCTGGTTATCAACCTGAAGGGAAGTCCAAAGGCTGATGAACTGATCTGTGTCCGTGTGAGACCACATTGCTCTGGTGTCCTGTATGCCCTGGGAACACAACGCCCAGTGCAAATCTGGTGAGTAACGACACTCATTTGATCTGTCAATGGTAAATTGATGGGATGTACTGTACTCCTTCTATTACAGAGAGGTTTAAACAAGCAGGTGTCCTTGATTTGGAGTTTTAGACTGGATGGTGGTTGATGGGGGGCTGTGGCACTGGCACTGACATGCAGATAATTTTAATCATGGAATTGTGTTTGCTAGAAGGTAAGTCAAACTATCAGTGACGCAATGTGGGAAATATTTGCTCATTAACAGAATAAATATTTAATGTTTATGACTGCACATCAAACAACCATGACTGCTCACCCTGTTTTATATACTACTACTACCTCTTCTATATTTTCCCCCTTTCAGACCATCCCAGTCAGCCTAAATACCTGTCTCAGTTTTCTGTACTGTCAGATAAAGTAACAAGGTATATACTCCTCTGTCTCTCCAAACTTCATCTCTTTGCTGTTCCACTAGCCTCTCTAACACAATGTCATTTCACAGAGGGTTTAAACAAAATCTCCCATCAGCTTCAGGGTTTTAGTGTTCTGTCTCACAATTTTACACACAGTTAGGACTTGATGCGGTAGTGGTTCGTCTAAACCAGTGTTGCTCAAAGTGCTGCACACAGGCCAATGGAGGCCCTCAGTAACAGTTTGTGCAGCCCCTAAATGTGACATGAAATGTATGCATTATATTTTAATTATTCATGGTCCATATACTTTAACTTTCAATAGCTTACTTTTAATACACCATTAAAAGACTGCATCAAACTCACCCCCCCCCACCAAGCATCCGTCAGCTGTTAGCTAAAGTCAGAGGTTTCAATGGACAATTCAAAACTACACTCTGCCTGTGCAGCCCTCAATTATATGCTAGCTCCCTAAACTGGCACTGAGTCATCAACACTTTGAGTACCCCTGGTCTAAACATTTGATTATGTGAATGCTTTTTCCAAACTTGGGTGTAGACCAAGAAACCATAACCCAGTCAAACTAACATTGACTGATAATGACTGACTGATGTGTGAGGTGATTTATGAGTTTTCTATTTAGTGTTCATGTAGCATTGCCATGGTATGTTTAAATAATTAGCCCTGTATCTTATAAGCTGTGCCTGTAGCTGAATTAAAAAATGGGCTTTTCTTGTTTGTCACCCTAAAATGTCTGACCTTGACTACACTGACTTGTATCTGTGTAACATTTTTCACTAAAGAGGTGTTTTCCCACTCCACTACTGAAGGGGGCGAGCCAATCACTTTCTAATAAGGGAACACGTATCAATGGGGAAACAGACTTTGACACAAGACCAGCAAAGAAAACTGAAATCTCCAGCACAGAGCGGACATGTCAGTACAGAGAGCAGAGTTAGCATTATCACAGTGATAGATTTGAGTGTGACATTTTTGGATATAAATAGCTTCCCTCCACTATCCACAAAAAAACCCCATCATAGAAAATATTCCTTTATGTTTCACAAGCACTAATGCTGTGTCAGCCATTGACAGTTAGCCTACAAGCTAACAGCTAACAAACAACATAAAAACATGTTTGGCTGAATCTTTCCAATGTTTCCTTGCTAATGCTAATGCTAACAATGCTGATGTGTGCTGCTCTCTCACTATGCAACCTGGCATCAGTCTCACATAGCCAAACTTATCTCCACACTTCTTAGCACTGTGCCAGCACTGGAGAAAGCGGAAAGTGAATGCCAAACCTAGTGCAAGGTAGGCTGGCAGAAGCCACATCCAGTGTTTCTCAGTGAGAGAGAAGGAGTAGATCTGCTTCCAGCCCCTTTTCCAGAGTTTTTTTTAAAGCTTTGATTTAATGTGGGAGGGTTACATTAAAAAAAAATATAATCATAGCAGAGGTTTTTTTTTTACAGAATTTAAAATGTGTCTTTAGGGGAATTTAAAGGTAGCCTTTGAAGATTTTTTAACCAAAGTAAACATGAATTTAAAAATGCAGGTTTCAAAATGTAAGAGTTTTCTTGTATTGTGAGTGGTGTTAAGTATTTCATGGTCACAGGAACATTTTCAGCAGAAATCCTAAGCAGAACTTAGCAAACCATGAAACAATCAAATTAGGACTTCACAGCTGTATCATTAACAACACCAATAAATGTGCATCAGAATCCAAGCGGCGGTTGAGTTGACCCCAGTGTTTTATAGTGCTGCTTTATCTTGTCTGTCAGTCTCCTCTTTCCATGCCGCAATGTTATCAGTTATAGGTTGCAAAGGATCTAGGCTAACTTTTAGCGCTGATGCACCCAACTTTCTCAGTTGGTCGCACCCTTTTTTTTGCTATTGTTATTATTAAAAAACTATTGTAAAATGTGCTACAATGGGCCACCACTCTGTAGCCTCGCTCAATGTCCCTTCCACAGTTTTCTAAAGTATGGCATATAATATGTATAGCATATCTGATGGACTACATGTCATAAGTAATACCAACACTTTAGACTGCTGTGCTACAGACAGGCCAAGAGACTGGAGCCGCTCTGTGAGTGAGCTGTATTGAAAGAAAAGCAGAAAGTATTACAAAGGTTGTAATATTAGATATAACTTTAGTTGCATGAGTTTGAGATCTGCAAGGAGAGGAAGAAGGAGTGAGACTGCACATGTACATGTACATATACATGTACATGTACAGCTGAGAATTAGGTGTACAGTTAAAATTTCACGTGCACTACCGTCCATGTGCACATGGTATTTTAATACCCAACTCCTATGTCTGTTCTGAGAGACCCATTGTCATGCTTACATACTTAAGTGTAAAAAGTAAAAAAGTACCAGAGAAAAGGTGGTACAGCTGTGGCCAGTTGTATTGTAGGCTTAACTTGAGAAGACAAAACAGAGACAATTCCTGTCTGGGAACCACCAACCTGTGATAGTAAGACTCCTTTAAGTCTATAGCCATGAACAGGCTGCCTGGCTGAACATTCAGCGAGCAAAGTCTTCTGCCTTGACCACACATATGGCTTGCCTCTGCTGCCTGTTACTGAAGTGAGAAGTTGAGTGGCTCAGAGATAGCATGCACTGCACCCTGCAGTTAACTGAGGTTCAGACCCCAGAAAACATTTTCAAAATCCTTTCAGCCCACTCCGCCACTAAAATATTTCATGCTTGGGAGGCTGAATTGAATTGAGTGTTGATGAATGAATGCCAGTGGGGAAATAAATTATATGCATGGACCTTCACATTCATTATATAAAGGGATAGGTCAGAGATTTTGAAGTGGGGTTGTATGAGACACTCCATCAGACAGCCCATTCCAACGGAATTATTTTGAGACTTTGGTAAATCTGAACTAAGCACTTTAAACGCCACAGTCACACAGTTACACAGTAACACACAAAAAAAATCCCAACTGATCGAGGCAGCAGTAGACCAGCAGCTCCTATCTTCAGCAATGTTAAATCACTGTTTTTCTTAATTGAGTCTGGCTTTGAAGAAAGTGACATAACAGCTTTAGTTCCCTAAAAATCACTGTTTGATGCAAAGGTAAAGCAGTGGAAAAATGTACTCAACATAGCAGTGGCAGTTCTAGCCTAAATGGTGCCCTGGGCGACATCCCCTATTGCATGTCATGTAAATAACAAATTCCAGCACTATAGGCCATAGCACAACACAGCAGCGTGTCAAGTGGGCCGAGTCAGAGTAAAATTTTGATACTACTGCACTGATCAGAAGAACACACTTGCAGCTACAACCTCACCCTTCTGGCCTTCCTTACCACAAAGTCCTCAATGATGACCCCCCCTAACTTCACCTGTTCCAATAGAGAGGTGAACCTGTCCCCCGCACCCCCTCCCCCTTGCCCTTCTTCTCTCATAATTTCTGTGTGCGGCAACATCAGCACTTTGTAATCCAGTAGGCTACAGGCAGGGGCGTCTGCATAACACAGGGGGCGCCAATTCCCTGTCGACGTTCACACAAGAAAAACGGCGCTTTCTGCCATACCCCCCCAAACTGATTGATGATTGTTTTTCAGGTGGCCAAAATACGTTTTAGTGCTGACCCCATCCACAGCAGCACATTGCTTAGCCTCTGTGTTGGTACTCAAGCCTTCTTCTCTAAACTGGGGGATGTGCTGACCCGCATTTACTGTAGGTAATACACTGAGTATGGATAAGTGCCTCATACAACCCCACTTAAAAAAAGACAATTTCATTGTGACATCTATCAACAGACTGGGCTGCCCGTTTTGTTAAGTAAAAACTCACTTTTCCACAGTGGAGTGTGGTCAGGGATATCTTAAGGCAGACTTTACCCTTTGTCTTTGTGACAGCTTTGAAATCTTTCCAGGGTTCAGAGTAACCAACGGAAGGGAGCACTGTCAGGCTTAAACATTGCACATCAACATCGAGCCCTAAAAGACACAAAGCAATGAAGTCATAGAAAACCAAAAAAAAGAAACATATACTTTAAATTCTCAGAGAAACATTTGCTCTTTGCAACTATAAAGACTGTGCTTGGAGCAATAAACATGTTTACTGAATGAATCCACCTTGGACCGAAGGCAAATGGTCTAGTCTGCACTCCCAAAACAATACATCTGAGGTCACAGACAGCAAAATTAGAAGAGCATTTGTGCTGTTCATAACAACTCTTAAGCTGAATGTTTTTTGGTTTGTTTTTACTGCCAGGGAATTTCATTCAAACATCCAACAAAATATTTAAAAAAAAAAAAAAGCAGTGATAAACTCCATCAATGCTGCAGATGCAACCAGACAGGCAAACTAGGCAATTGCCTAGGGCCCCGAGCTGGAAGGGGGCCCCCAGAGACGGCTGACATTGGTCCATATCAATGACAATATGATGGAACCCCTATAGACACTGCAACAACGACAACATGTTGGAATCCCCCCGAATGGGGCCCCCTACTAGCTGCTGCTTGTGAGTGGCAGTGGAAGTAGGGTGACCAGACGTCCCGCATTGTGCGGGACTGCACAGCATTTCTGTCTCTTTTCACGCGTCACGCAAATTGAGACCATGTCCCGCATGATTGGTTGCCACCCATGC